CCTCAAGGTTCAGACAATTGAGGGGATCACACCATTTGCTGCTAACAAAGCTCAGCATGTAGGTTACTCCAAGAGCCAAACTCTTGTACCACAATACTCAATAGTCCCGATTTCAGAGAGGTGTTTAGAGTAAACATATCAATTTCAGTTCCAATGTCCAGTAACTTGGCATATCTCATGAAAAGAAATGCAACCTAGATTTATTTGAAAAGGACAATTGAGGGGATCACACCATTTGCTGCTAACAAAGCTCAGCATGTAGGTTACTCCAAGAGCCAAACTCTTGTACCACAATACTCAATAGTCCCGATTTCAGAGAGGTGTTTAGAGTAAACATATCAATTTCAGTTCCAATGTCCAGTAACTTGGCATATCTCATGAAAAGAAATGCAACCTAGATTTATTTGAAAAGCGAAATACCCTCCTCCTTCAAAGGGTAGCAAAACAGGGTAGTGACCTGGCTGAAATACAAAACATCCAACTAAAAACCAGAAATATTCAATCAGATCAAATAAATAAATAAAATAAGCAGTGACAAGAAGGAGTTTGTACTTTGTTCAGAGAATCATCACAAGGGTTGTATCTTTCAAATGGCGGAAATATACCAAAGCACACACAAGGGTTTTCTACATTGGTGAAGTGTTGTTTCCACACAACAAGCCTCTTGCAACAGTGATTTAAACAAACAAAGTTCTGGTACTCTGCACCAGATTTTAGACCTGATAAGCCAGCGTGAAGATTGGCATGCCTGAATTCTAAAAGTCATATCATCATCAAGGTTGGAAGAGACCTTTTAAGATCATCCAGTCCAGCTGTCCACGTGGCACTGCCACTGTGACCCCTACACCACTAAACCTATCACCCAATGCCACATCCAGATGCCTCTTAAACACCTCCAGGGTTGGTGACCCTACCATCTCCCCAGGCAACCTATTCCAAATCACAGCTTACCTTTCTCTTTCTTCTTTCCTCATCATCAAGATGCTTATCTTTCTCTTTCTCAGACTTTTTTTTCTTTTTCTTCTTCTTTTCTTTATGCCGTTCTCGCTCGTGATCTGATCTGTCATCATAGTAACTGGAATCGTGCCCTGACCCAGAGAGCTCGGTCACTTCACTTCCTCCAACTTTGAGCACCAGCTTTAACGGTTTTTCCAAAGGTTTGTCCACGTAATCTAAATTCAAAATGAAAATAAAGCGTTCCATAAATGCGCAGGGAGACAACAGCACATGGCAATTATGGATGTTTCTTCTGGAAATGCTGTTCATGAGAATTTGCTGCTGGTCAAAAATATATACTGTCCTAGGTTACAATGTAGGGCGTAACCAAGAGTCTGTATTCTATTATCTTTACAAGCTGTTAAAGCAGGTGGGGCAGTGATTGTTATACCCTACTCATCCCTGCTGGCTCCCTCAGGGGCTGTCTCTGTTTAATGGGCTGTCAAGGACCTATGCATGACACATAGAATTACATGGTCCCATTGTGAGATGCCTCACCCCAAGGTGGGGAGCCAAGCATTCCCACATGGATATAAGCTGGGGTTTGGACCAGCACAGAGCCCTTTGCCTGCTGGATTCCCAGAGGACAAGAGCTACCACTGGACCTTCAGGTGAAGACCAGATGTACAGGATCACTGCTCCAACAGACCCATCTAAGTGGGCTGCTCCCAACACCCTGACTGACAGGGTGTCAGGCTGCTTTCTGACTCTGTCAGTGGTTTCTTTTTGTACTGTTGCATCTATTGTTTTTGGTTTTCCTATTAAACTGTATTTCTGACTTGGGAGTCTCTCACTGGTTTGCTTTCAAACCAGCACATACACTTAGAAGGAAAATATAGACTTCGAAAGAAAAGCAATAGCCAAGACTCTTAAGCCTTAACAAACAAACAGTCGTTCACAGCAGGCGCTACAGAATGACTTTCCACAAACCGTTACGCGTAATCAACTGACTCCGCGGCTTTCCCTGAAAACATCCCAAGGTCCTGGCCAGAGCGAGGTGAAATTCAGCATCCCTCAGCCAGCGCAGCAGTCAGAGCCTGACACTACGAGCCGCG